ATTCTAATTTTAAATATTTTAATATGCACGTTAAGATATTATTTTAATTCAATAGCAATTTTAAGTATTTTACTTTGATTTAAAAGCATCCATGCTATCTAATTTCATTGTTATATTTTTAATTAATATCTATCTTAACAAATTAGATTTAAACTAAACAATTACAATCCATAAAATAATATTTATTTAAATCATCTCAAAAGAAGAAGTTTGTAATAAATACAACCATGGAGTCAAATTATAAATGAATTTAAAGTGTTATTGGAATGAGATAATGATTGTTTTTAAAAATATTTTTATTTAAAAAATATTAAACATAATATATTTTTTATTTTTTAAAAATTCTTTTTAATACCAACAAATTAAAACAATTCAAACATATATAAAAAATAATTTCAAAAAATTAAAATTAAAAAAAAAAGAAGACAGTTTCAAGCAGCCCATTTTAAAAAATTAAAATTAAAAAAAAAAAAGACAGTTTCAAGCAGCCCGTGATTGATGTATGAAATGATATTAAAATAATGCCTCCATAGTCAAACAACACTCCCTCGGGAAATGGGGGGGAAAGGGCAAAGGAAGAGATTCATCTAATCGAAGGGTCAATGACAATGACACTTGACATCTGATGGTGATGCAGACATTTAGAATTGCAACCTTCCGAAGGAATATATATATGGTCCACGATCACCAAGCGTGGGCAGGTTTAGGTGACAAATTTCCACTTAAAAATAATAATAATAAGATTGGATAGAATTTGAAAGCCAAAAGATGAACTTGATTTAACGTGGCACCAAAATTGAATGGCCTGGCTTGGTCGACGAGATGCAAATCAATAGTCTCAAGATTGTCTTTTCTTCTTATATTCGATCGGACCAGCACATAGATGACCACCAATCCTCGATAATGGAATTTTGGTGTTTTATCATGCTTAAGCATGAAAGGGAGATGTTAATATGTTGTCTACATATACTATATCATTCATTTTATACATTAAAAAAAATTATAAAGAGTGTATTTTAACTAGTTATGTTTTGAATCTTTTTTCCTAAATATTATTAATTTAAGTATCATAAATTTCAATATCACTAAAAATTTATCTAGTCATTAACTTTATAATTTTAAAAAATTAATAAAAAATATATGTAAGCTAAGTCAGACACCGATGATTGTTAAAAATACATACACACACTTCTCTTACATCTTGATATATTTAAAAAATATGTTTTATCTAAAAAAGATAAATAATAATAATAATAACTTTTAATAGCTTACTTCTCTCGCCTATCTCGCCTAACGTGAATTGACTAATTTAATAAATTTAAAATAAATTTGAATGACCAACAAAACATAAATTAACTTAAAAAAATAAACTAAGAATATTTTTTTAAAAAAATATTAAGATAATGACATATTGAATCACGTCAGTCACGCGTGACTTTGTTCATAAATCTTTCCAAGTTTAATAACTTTTTATCTAAAATAATTTTTATTTAATTATATGATAAAATAAAATATTTTTTTAATTATTATCATCATCAAGTGAAGCAACAAATTGCTTTTAAAATGATGATTAAGACCTTGAATTCAAGTTTTAAAAGTGATTTAAAAAAATAACAATCTTAGATCCAATTTAAGTGTTGCTTTGCATTTATAGGCATTACAATAACTTAACTTTGCAAAAAATAAAATAAAATAAAATAAAAATATAGCAATAACTTTAATTAATTAAAAAATAGCTAATCCATAATAACTGAAAGAGGGCAAGTATGAAAGTTATTGTAGGAAAACTAGTAAATTTATTATTTCAACTTATAATAATTAATTCAGGTAAATATTCTAAATCTAAGTTAATATTTTAAATTCACAACCCAAAAAATTAAAAACTCAGGCCTAGGTAAGAATTTTAATTGTCAACCAATATAATGCTAAATGATAAAATTAAAAAACAAATCCTGAATTTAAAACTAACCAAAGCAAAAAAATAATAAAAAAAAGAATAAGCATCAAATATGAAAAGAGAAAAGGATGGAGGGGTGAAATTGAAAAAGAAAAAAAATTAAAAGAATGATGATTAAATCTGATAAATAAAAATATCAAAAAAGGATGCAATTGAAAACAAAACAGAATTCAAGAAATGTATTAAAATAAAACAAAGAGAAATTAATAAAAAAAATAAAGGACAAAATCAAAAAGAAAATAACTTGAAGAACAATATGAAAATGTGGAGGACCAGTCATGAATATCTAGAAGAAAAGAGAGAAAAAAAATAAATATCAGTTATGTATCAGAGATCAAACAACTACACGAGCTATAAAAAGAGAAAAGGAAGGCCTAGATAAATTGAATGACATGGTGGAAAAACCTTTTTGACCACCGAAGTTAGATACAAGCATCAACAAGCTTTTTGTTTCTTTTTTTTTATTTGTGAAAATGCTACTCTACTCTCAAGATCCAAATATTATTATAAAAAAAAACTATTTTAAAATTATGATTTAGCCATTTGAGTCAAGCTTTTGGGAATTTGAATCCAATGGTATTAGAGTAATTATATTGTAGCAAAAAATATAAAATGTCATAAAAAAAAAACTCTAGACCATAGTTAAATGATTATTTGCTTTTAATGGTAACAAAGTCTTTTTATTATGCAAAACAATAATAAAAGATTTAAACGCCCCTAAACAATTGAAAAATAACAAATTAACTAAAAAAAAGATCATTTTATCCTAAAAAATTGTTTATTGAGAGTTTTTTCAAGGACAAAACCATGAATTTAATATTACAATCCATAACAAACAAATGCATATATACAATATTTTTCCTAAATGTTTTAACTTTGTCTTTAATGAAGAAGAATAGAATGGAGCACTTGTCTTATTGATGAAAGCTTATCCAAATGTCTGAACATGTGAAACAATTAACAAGTGCTCAAAATGCTGGCTTCAGATTATTGTCTGTTGAGAAACTCTGGCAAGCATGAAGACCATATATATATATATATATATATATATGCAATTAACTATATATCTAGCGTGATATTCTACAGTTTGATGGGAAATGTTGACAAAGCTAATTTAATTATGCCTAGAACACGTTCAATGGTGTCTAGCTCATGGAAGCCATAAGCATATGGACACAAGGAAGATCGAAAGTGTGCGGGACACAGTCGTCATCCCCGTACGTGTATGCAGCACCATTCCTCTGTGAGTTTTAGTGGCAGACATTCACTTGGAATCATTGATGATCATCGTCACATAAGATCGACATCCTCTATTTCATAATTAAAGAAATAAACTTATTAGGAACCCTAAATTTTGCCTCCACGCACTCTCTGAAAAATACACACTAAGAATCCTTTATAATTTGACATTGATGCAAATAATTTTTCAGAGGTGCACTTGCAAATATAATTAATTAAATTGGAGAAAAATTATTACACTGACTAAATTCATTTAGACAAGTAGTGTTGTATGATATGGTAGCACCAACATTTACTCATCATCGTTGATTAGTAACTTGATCGATTTCATCACAATATTCTCTAAAACACAACATTACTTGATTAATTTCATGGAATGTATAACGACGCTCCCTGTGATCTATCAAGGTCAACACAATATCTTATAATATTATATAATCAACAAGTTTTAATAATGCAAAACAGAATTATTTTTTTGTTATTTATTTAAAGCCTCGTTCAGCCTTGGATTGAATTATTAACATTCATTATATAATAATATTGATCAAATAAATTAATATGAGTTATTAGGACTTGAGTATATTTATTTAAAAAAAGTCATCGAATTTATAATATGTTTACTAATACAAGAAAAAAATAAAAATAAAAATCAATTTGGTAAAACTTAACTAACATATTTTTCATGGGAATTTCAATTATTTATGGAAAGAACTTATTAGAAAGAGAAGAAGAGGACGGCAACATCGGAGAAAGTTACGTCTAGGTTTGGCATGAACACATGACTTGACATTAAAGGCAGGTAAAAAGACAACGAGTCAATAACAGTGGAAGGCAAAACTCTACTTCCTGTAGGATCAGATAAGCTTAGGTAAGCTTCTTCGAGGGTATCTGTGTCGTTTTCCATAGCAGATGTCATCTTTTGGACATGGGTGCATGGTAGAACATCATGGTGGAGATGCAATTTTTTAATTATAATCAGACAATTTTAAATTTTAAATTGCTGGGACATGATTTAATATTATCGTATAATCACTTACATATATATACCTTATCTAAACAAAGTTTTTGGTTTGAAACTTATTATTAGAGTTAAAACTTCCACAAATCTATTATCGCTGAAATTTAATTTAATAATTAGATTATGCTGCTATACAGAAGATTCAAACCTTAATTACTTCTAGTTAAAAAAAAATTAGAATAACAGATTGTTAGTGAGATTTTATGATATTGTTCATATTTTATATATAATTACTTATTATGAAATATATTAAAATATAATTATTGTGAAGTCAAAAGGTTTGGATTTTGAACAGATTTAAATAATTGGGTTTCTAATATCATCACACATGATTTTCAAGCAATAAAAAATTACAAAGATGGGATGTGTGCATGGAACACAGTCTTTTTACATATATAACATCGCTCGAGCACACATATTTAAAAATTATTTGAAATCAAAATTTAATTTCATTTATGATTTGAATTTAATTAATTAATAACTTAGTATAATTTTTATGTTTGAAATAAAATATCAAATCTCAAAATTTAAAAAAGGTATTTTTAAAATATTATTTTTAGTAATAATTTTAAGAGAAATTAATTTGCAAATCAGATCACCCCTCTAATTTGTTTTTATCTATTTTTTATAATTTGAATTCCATTTTATCTATTTTAAATGCTAAAAAAAAACTCTAAACACATGAATACATGAATGAAATGATTTAACTCTTGAAAGATTCTAAACAGCATGTTAGTACAATCTAACATGTATATAAACACACACCCCATGTCTCCTGCAGTCCTACTGAGAAGTAGGGCAAAATTTCTAGGGTAAATGAGCATGAGTGCATCAAAAAACACATACCTTGGTGACCCCCAAAAGAAACCACCGTCATCAACTTTAAAGGTACTTGGTTTTTCAGTGAAGCGCAATCAAGAAGAATTGCCAGCTACAACACCATTCAATATTGAATATATCAAAAAATTTGAATGCCAATACTGTCACCGAGGTTTTGCTAATTCTCAAGCTTTAGGTGGCCATCAAAATGCACACAAGAGAGAACGTCAACGTGCAAAGCGAGCCCTGTACTTCTTCAAAGATCATCAACATCAACGGATCAAACCAGCAGGTCCCATTATCAATGCACATGCAGCTAGATCAGGGCCGTTGATTTGTGCTAGTGGGTCTAGAAGTATTAAAGCAGCAGGTGGGGTAGCTAGGTTAGAGTGTCCAGCAAAATCACCATCGTTGATGATGTTTGATCATATAGATCCTCGTCCACTTGTGGGCCCAATAGGTGCGGGGGCTATATCAGAAACGTCTTTGATTGCAGAAGATGAAGGAGCTGGGGTTGATCTTCACTTGCGACTAGCACCCTTACATCCATAGCCTTTTGTTGGGTAAATATTGGTTGATCCTTATGACACACCTATCCTTTTTACTTTGTTAGAAGAGAAGACGAGGAGGGACACGAATATCATAAATCCATCTTAGTTTGATGTATGCCATAATGACAGGTTGTTGCTGTTATTATTATTGAGGAGTTTGCAAGCAAAATGATTTGGATAATTATTACGAGGACGTTGAGAATTCTTTCCTTGATCATATGCGTGAGTTCTATCATGATAAATAGTCATCAACATCAGGACATGTATATGATCTCCTAGCTCTTGCACTGAAAATAGAACTTTCCAAATCATTCTTCATATGCAAAATGATAAATTGTAGCGCCTTTTGTTTTAGTTAAGAAGCATGAAGCACGTAGTACGCCTACAGATATATGATGAAGATAGTCATTTCTCTCGCAGTCTTCCTGCTATATATATATTTTTTTTAATTCCAAGTACTCATGGCTGTAAATTAAATTACTAATTAGCTTTCGTGATTTAGGCAGCATTACTAATTTACTATTACTGTTAGGTGAAGCTTCACATATGAATCTAGATCGATGGCATTTAGTGCGAGGATGATTAAGATTATGTGAAGAAATCAATTTGGAATTGATTAATTAAGAAGGGTTCGACTAATAGATGTTTTTAGAGTTTTTATTAAAAGTCATTTAAAGCTCCACTCAATCTCCACTTTTCTTATCAGTTCAGATATTATCATATCTTCAATAACCATTATCTTTTATTTTCATTTAAATATTTGATTTTTATTTTTTATCACAATTTAACTATAAATTTATAAAGTGAAATAAATATATTTAGATAATGTTTAAAAGGTGTCTTAAGAGCATCAGTTAACTTTTAGTAAACACAAAATATATTAAAAATAGAAATGTTAAATATCTGGAGTAACATGCGGGTAAACTTGTTAATGTATCAATTTATTAAAAAGTTCACATAAATTTCATTTGCATATATGTATAACTCAACCTAATTTATATGCAATATTTACGGGTTGTTTGATTTATTTATTTTTTATAAATTTCATTTACATATATGCAATTGAACCTGTTTTTTGAATTGTTTTTTATTTTGAAAAACATTAAATTAATATATATTTTTTATGATTTTAATATGTGGATATAAAAATATAAAAAATAATTTTAAATATATTTTTAATTAAAAAATATTTTTACGTACAAAAACACTGCGTTATTAAATATCACTTATGCTCGGCCAAGGAAGGCAAGTCTAGCAGCCCAGGGAAAAGCTTAAGAAAAAAAATTAAAAACTATGTAAAAAACGACAATATACCAAACAGTTCCTGAGGACATGTAAGCTGTCGCATTGTAAAATTCTCATCCCAAAGGCAGTGGTCCAAATAAAGCAGTCAAAGAAGCCACTATTTCGCCCACCAAACAGGAGAAGTTCAATGCCATCCACACTTCCCTACTCTTTCATCATCTCTTTTTAGAGTTTCAAAATCAGAAAAAGCTCATACTGCCACCGCACAACAAAACACAAATACATGAAAATAGAACTCTGAATTATCCCATTATTTTTCCGTAACAGTCTAATTATTCATTGCCGCAGTATTTTCTCTAGCTGTACCTTGTTGCGTAATCCAGCTAGTAATGAACAAACCTCTTCCTCTCCCTCTTATATATAAAGAATACCAATAATTTGGCACCAGAACCTTCACAGCCTGAGGCGTAACATTCCGATGTCTCTCTTTCTCTCCTTGCCTTCTAGCTAGCTAGTACTCCTGGTGGAAAAGTGAAAGAGAAATGGAAAATCACTTTCAGGCATCTATTGTTAACAATCAAATATATGGCAACGTTGGTGATTGGAAGTTAGAAAAAAGGTATAGACACCACATACCTCAATCTTGCATGCTATCGTCCTCACCAATGCCACCAGTATCTTCATGGAATGTTCATAGCGATCATAGCATATATAAATCAAAACGGAGTTTCAACGACTCGGCTGAAGCCAAGAGACAAAAGAGAGTTATGAAGTATAAGGCCTATGCTGTTGAAGGGAAAAGGAAGACCTCTTTCAGGAATGGGATTCGTTGGGTCAAGGACAAGTATTGTTCACTTGTGCATAGATATTGATGGACTATGTGAAAACATGAATTTATCTTTGTTTCTTGGATATATAGAATTTTCTTCCCTTACGAATAATATTTAAGGTTTTTGGTTTTTCTGATGATGATTTAAATATTGTGGTCACTCAATATGTATGCCTATACTTAATTTTTCGATGCTTGGTTTGTCCACGCAAAAACCTTGGGAGAGAATGATTAGAAGAGCTCTGTCAAGGAAATATATGGGAACCAGTTCTCTTTTCAAAAACGCTACCTGCTCGTGAAATCTCAGATCGACTAGAACATCTACCACTCCTCTAGTTCAAATATATAGCTTTGACCTCTGGTGGTATTATTTATTTTTTTGGCAGGAGGTCCTGGCTCAAAATCGCAAAACGCCGTACGCATACAAATACCCAATTATTAAATCTCCATTAATTGAGACACCTTTTCTTTTCTTTTCCTGCAGTTTTTCGACGGAGGAAATTCTTGAGCTTTGAGCTTCAAGAAGCGTGGTTTTTAATAATTAAGTTATGTTTCAGTCACGAATTTGAGCAATTAGTTACCTCGTATTAATAATAATAATAAAAAAACTTAACGTTAGCTGGGTCAGAGAGCAAGAAGGTGTAGAATAGATGTGTGCATTAGTCCTGTGAAGATTTTATTTCTCTAGGAGGTTTATTTGATCTTGAATAGAGATAGCTAGCCATCCATTTTTCTAGATTCATATCCTTCCTACTGTGAAAAAAAATCTAAATATGAACACTTGATACCTCATAGGACCACAACAAGTAATTAAGCTAGTAATCAATTATTTAGGTGGTAATTAAGTAATAAAAATTTAGAATTAAGAGGTATATTTTTTTTTATAGTTTTAACTTCGAGTTCTTAGTTACTACTAGAAATATATATAATTATTAATTTTAAAATTTATAAAATTAATTATAATATATATAAGCTAATTTACATCCACCCATGTAAATCTAAAAAAAACTAAGATATCCCATGTCCAAAAACAAAACGTCTGTCCTCATTCGTTTCATTTCAATTGCAAAGGTAGAAGACGATATATCTCATGACCCTGAATTTATTAATTTTCCCTTGAAAAATTTCAGAATAGATAAGCTAGAATGTCCATAGCTATATATAGCAGTCTCATACAAGTACAATACGAGCTAGGATGTGCAGACCATCCATACATCAAGGGCCCATCTTCACCGAAAGAGGTAGAACATAGCCAGCTGATAAAACCAGTTATCCCAGTGCTTCTTAGGTCGTCAAGTCAAAAAATTAGCCCTTCACTAGGTTCACGATATAACCATTTCAACACTTTTAAGTTGGATACGTCGCGGTACGTAGGAGAAAAAAAAAATTAAGCGTAAGAAAAATATTCAGGTTGCATACTTATTCCTTCTTATGTTGTAATTGCTGTCTTATTAGATTCAATCATTGTAATTATTCGGATCCACAAATCATCCCTACTGACTATTAGAATCTCTTTGAATATATCACTGAGTTTTTTCAAGATATAAGCAAAATACAAATTAGAGAGGCACATGGTCTGTTGGTTCCCTTTTTAGAACTATGTTTCCATTTAATTTTGTGGGTGCTTTTATCCTGGAAAATCATAAATTTATCTCATGAAGAGTTAGTCATACCCACAAGTAATATAAATACTATTGTTGTTTTAGCTTTACTTCCATCAATAACATATTTTTATTCTGGCCTTGACAGAAAAGGGTTTGGTTATTAATAGTTGTTCTTGTTTTTAATATCTTCAATGATTTCTATATTTATATGTTCTTTGGATTATTTATTAGTTGTCTTCAAGCTCTTATTTTTGCAATCTTAGCTATCCATGGAGGGACAATTGACGAGGTTTTGAAATAATATTTTTAGCTTAGTGCAATGTAGCTTATGCTTTTCTAGATATAATTTTCACCGTGAACATAAATATACATGTAAATAGATAAAAAAAAAAGTCTATAAGATTTAGAAGAATGGTAAAAAAGATTACAATATTATGGAATTATAGGAGAAAAATGGGTTCCATCATAGAGCGAATCCCATTTTAGTTAATTTTATACAATTCATGGACTGACCAAAAGAAAATATTATTAAAAATTAAATCACATGAACTTGTATCTCTTTATATTTCTATGAAATGATTTTGATTTAAAAAAATTTCTATTTAAATTAATTCTATCCATATATGGGATAATTATAAATTACAAATTAAATAAAAAGAAGATAAGTGTTTACAAAAAATGGGATTCAAGAGAAAATGATTTTGTTGGAAGAGATATAAAACTAGATATATGTAATATGTATAATCGTTATAAACCATTTTTTTTATAGATGTTTTTTTTTTAATTTAAGAGATATATGTAATAAACTAGATATATGTAATATATATAATGGCCAAAATAAAATATGAATAAAAATTAAATCAAACTAGTTTTTCTCTTTTTAATTCAAGAGAAAAACTAATAGCTAGAAACAAATTCATTTATCATCGACTACTCACTTTATTTTGGATTTCTCAGCAATAAACCCTCTAAGTTGTTCGGGTGTCGTTTTAAATATTTTGCTGCAACAAAGAACTGTCAAACCTTCGTCAATAGCACGACCGTATTGCTGTCAACTTTCATAGCAGGATTTTGCCAGGGCGGAAGATGGCTCTAGCCTTAACACGTATATAGCCATGACTGCAATAATTTTCTTCACTTTGCTCCCTCCAAAGAGTAATTAATAGGCAACCCCAGCTAACATGGATCAATAAATTATGCGATTGCGAGCCAGTGCTTTCGCAATAAATATCAAGCTATAGCCACAGTGGGGATAACCGTACCTTCATAATGTAATAAGGGTTATTTTTAAAAATTATTTTTAATATAGCATGTTAAAATAATTTTAAAAAATCAAAAAATATTAATTTAAAAAAATCATTTTTTATAAAAATATTATAAAATACAGAAGCCTTTTCACGTCTGCTGTTAAAGAAATTGTTGGCCCGCAAGGGCGAAGCACATTTGTCGCCGATTCTGAAACAAAGTACTATAACGGAGTGAGTTATTGGCCTGCATTAAATATTAGAATTTTTGAGAGTTTATAGACACATAAAAAGAAGAAATTATTGAGAACATGTATCTGCGGGTCCATTGTTGCATAGAGGAAGTACTTTTTCTTCGCCCTCTCCAACTATTGCAAATTAACCTAAGAGTAAATTTATGATCTCCGGAGTATCGCAAATTAATTAGAAAAAAGGGTAAAAAAACACCTTTTTCCTTTTAATTTCTTTAATGTTTATATAATGACATTGGCCCACTGAATTATAGTGATTTCCCATCACTTTTCGTCAAAGACCGATATG